TTGCAGATTGTAGCTGATTCTGACAGTGAGGAGGCTGGTGTGGTGTTGCGCCACCAGCCTGTGCAGCTGGCACCTGAGTCGGACAATGAGGAGGCTGGAGAAGATGTGGTGCCAGAGGCGGGGATTCAGCCAGGGCCTTCAGAACCTCCAGAAGCTCCCATAAGTGAATAGGACGAAGAGGAGGAGCCTCTTCTCGATGCACGGGCGCGCAGAGCAGCCAAAAGGCAGGAGTGGCTCCTCAGGAGGAGGTCTCCTCGAGAGTAAGGCTTGGGGCTAATTGGCCACTTCCTTAGCCTATTTAAGGAGGAATGCCAACTGAAGCAAGTTGTAGGGAACAACTTTAGTTCACTCTCCTTCGCGTCTGGATTCTCTGCAAAATTGTTTCTGGGCTTTCTGCCAACCTTCGTGAGATTGTGATTACTTTATCTTTGGTTTCTTGTAGGCTGTTAAGGAAGTTTATTAACAGTCTTTGTTTTGAAAAAGACTGAGTTATTTTAGTAAATTTAAGTTTTGTACAAACTTTGTGTGTCCCGTAGCTGGGACAGAACAGTTTTTTGGCCGATTTTGGCTGTTTTTCAGGCCGTTTTCCAGGCCATTTTTCAGCCATTTTTCAGTCCTTTTTCTGGCGTTCTGGCACCCACAAAGACCAGCTGTCCAGTGCACTGAAAACCAGAAGAGCATTTGGCAACGGCACGCTTGGCCACAGAGAGGGCTCTGTGTGCCACCTCTGACATGCATGCCATAGGTTCGCCATCACCGACCTAGTTGATTGATTGAAAAGAGTCCAAAATGGCCGGTTTCTCAGCTATGATGATCAATATACTGTAATCATGTCGGCCCTTGTTTCTCCCTGCTGAACAACCTTTTGCAATTAGATAATCGAGAGCGGTCTTGGAAAGCTGATATCTTTACACAAGGAGTGTTACAGCTCTGTGTATTTGGTGCACTTCAGAGTAGACTCCCCCCCCCCCCCCGATTGTAACAGTTCGTTGGAGACTTGCCCCTTGAGGAGAATTCTAGGGTAGAACTGCCTTGCAAATTTGTATTTCCTCGTAAGATTTTTCACTTGGACAAGGAACTCCAGTTCCTTACTATAAAGTCGACCATGTAAATTCTCTTATTGTACTCTGAACAAACATATCCTAAGGACAGTATTTAAAACAAAGGCCCTTGCCAGCATCGTTAGTCATCTTATTTTCTTCCGTATGTAGCAAAGTTAGAAACTACAGGGGAATCTATGATTGTTAGATTTTATGGATCATAACCCTCACCTTGAAAGGAATCCTGGAGGCAGATTTAAGAAGACAAATAGACAGTGTCCCAGGATAATGTTGCAGGATCCAATCTGGGTCAGACACCAGGACTTGGAAAACTCTTCCAAGTTTTCGCACTTATGCTGGAGCCTGTCCTTAGGGTTGGGCTCCTGCACACATTACGATCAGCGGTGAAATCTTCTGAAGTCTGTTACCGGTTCTATGAGTCTGGTACCGAGCGCGTGCCCGCGCAGTGCTAAAAAAGGAACATTTTGAAGCCTTCAGAGTCTGCAAAAATAAGTAGAACAGCAAGGGGGGAGAATTTGCTGTGCCACGTGATTTAGATTAGCTAGAAAGCAGGAAATCCGACGATTCTAGCTAATATAAATTGCACATCACAGCTGATCGTCACCCAGCTGATCATCGGAAATACCAGTTCCACCGAACCGGTAGCATTTTTTTACTACCGGTTCGTAGGCCAGGGGTGTCAAATTCAATTTCATTGAGGGCCGCATCAGGGCTGTGGTTGACCTCGGGGGGCCAGGCAGGCGTGGCTTACTAGGTGGGCATGGCCAGCTTGACACCACTCCCTAAACTTCTGGCATGTTTTCTTTTCATATGGGTAGATCTGGCTGAAGCCGTGCTGGCCCGATGTTTCCTCTTCGCACTGGATAGACCGGACCGAAGCCGCATTGGGTAGACCGGGCCAAAGCGTTGCGGGCCGGCCCCTTACATTTTCCAGGACAGCCCTATGGCCAGATCCGACCACATTGCGGCCCGGATCAGACCCGCTGGCCTTGCATTTGACACCCCTGTCATAGGCTCTCCATTATAGAAATTCAACCTTTTTCTGCTTCACCTGATGTATGCAGTGGATGAGAAAGGTGGGAGGAGCTTCTGTGCTGGGGGATGGGGAGCCTGTAAAGAAAGACCCAACTTAGCAAAGCAAAAGCTAAAGAGAGCGAAATGCACCATCGTAATAGCTGGACTGTGAAATAGGAGAGCACACTTCACCGTTCTCCCATCATTTGCATTTGACGCAGCATGAAATTAAGAATTCTACACACCTGCTTTAACAACAACCAGAGGTTGATGGGCATAGCTGGGCAATTACTTTTTTGTGATGGGAGAATTCTCTGCCCTCCTTCCCTCCCACTCCCCCTCCCACACACTTACACACACCTAGACACACCTCTAATTCTGTATGTGCATAGAAAACCATACTTCATTTGGTTTGATCGACATAGAAATTCCCACGGCATCCTGCCAAACATTACAGGGAGGGCAGAATTAACGCAGCTAATTTTGAAGCTGCCCGCCCAACATAAAAGGGCTGATAGAATGAGAAACACAAAGCCACACAAAAATTGTGTTGGGTACTTTAAAAGTCTGGGGGAAGTAAATGTAGGTTTTGCTTCCACGATTTATTGGATTTGGTCGCTTTTACTCCCATAAAGTGAGGGTGTCAGCGTTCCAAGTAATGCACCCATTGAAAGCACAACTCCGAGGCAGGTAGAGTCCTCAAAGAATAATTTATTGGATACATCATATTGGCACAGCTGGTGAAAACTGACTCTGAAAGCTGTTTGCACCTACTGTATTTTTTGGACTATGAGACGCACACACATACCCCAAAAAAGTAGGTGGAAATGTCAGTGTGTTTTATAGACCGAATACGGCCCTGTTTTTGGCCTCCTGAAAAAAACCCCACGCATCCTGTTTTCGCCAAAAAGGGGCCTGTTTTTCACTAAAATGGGACATGCAGAAGGTTTTGGAGGCCTGCAGAGTGCTCTTGGGGGCTGGGGATGGCAAAAATAGGACTTGTGGGGAGTTCAGCAGGCCAAAAATGGGCCTGTTTTTTTGCAAAAACAGGACATGCAGTGGGTTTTGGAGACTGGCAGAGTGTTCCTGGGGGCTTGGGAGAGCAAAAACTGGACGCACGGAGGCCAAAAATTATTTTTTCTTGTTTTCCTCTTCGAAATCTAGATGCGTCTTATAGTCCGAAAAATATGGTAACTACAAAATGAAAGTTCCTCTTTTCCCCCTCCCCAGGCATCAGACAAATTGTCCAATACAGTTGCCTGCCGGTGGCATGGTTACTCTATTCCTCTTCCCCGCCACCTGTTGAAATGTCCTTGGTTCCCACAGGAAAACATTCTATTTTGACTACAAAACCCCAGCTGTCTATTCCCCACCCCTCTTCCCTCTGTTAAAATGGCCTCAGCCAGGTTTGCTTCAGGGTTGACAGAGGGTGGATGTTCCTTACTATGATCTGCAAAATAATTCTGTGAGCAAGAGACTCGACTCAAAGAAACAGCAGCGAGCATAGAGGCAGCTGCGAGCGAGTTTATTGTAGTGGCTAAAAGCACCGGACTAGAAACTGGGAGACAGGGAATTCTAGTCCCTCCTTGGGCATGACATCTGGGTGACTCAGGGTCAGTCCTTCCCTGTCAACCCTGGGAAGAAGAAGGCAAAGGCACACCACTTCTGCTTAACAAACTGCATGGAGTGTTCTGTTTAGTTGCAGGAGCCAAGGTTGACATGAAGGCACACTAAAATAAAGTTGCTTAAGGTGTGGTCTAGTTGAGTGAAGTTTGAACCCTGTGGACATCCAAAATTTAAGTCACTCTATCAGACTATTGAAGGGATGCTGTCTTTTGTGTCAGGCTCAAACACTGGGACGAGGCAATGAAATATAGAATTCTTTATAGAATAGAATAGAATTCTATATTGGCCAAGTGTGATTGGACACACAAGGAATTTGTCTTTGGTGTATATGCTCTCAGTGTACATAAAAAGAGAAGATACATTCGTCAAGAATCATAAGGTACAACACTTAGTGATAGTCAAGGTTACTAATAAGCTATCAAATCGTACTAGGAAACAAATAAAAACAATATAAATTGAAAGATACAAGCAACATGGTTATAATAATAAGTGGGAAGAGATAGATACTAGTAAGGAAGAGAAGAATAATAGTAATACAGTCTTAGTAAATTATTTAACAGCGTTGTGGGAATTAGTTGTTAAGCAGAGTGATGGCATTCAGGAAAAAACTGTTCTTTTGTCCAGTTGTTCTGGTGTGCAGTGCCCTATAGCGTCATTTTGAGGGTAGAAGTTGAAACAATTTATGTCCAGGATGCAAGGGGTCTGTAGATATTTTCACAGCCCTCTTTTTAACCCATGCAATATACAGGTCTTCAATGGAAGGCAGGTTGGTAGCCATTGTTTTTTCTGCAGTTCTAATTATCCGCTGAAGTCTGTGTCTGTCTTGTTGGGTTGCAGAGCCAAACCAGACAGTTATGGAGGTGCAGATGACAGACTCAATAATTCCTCTATAGAACTGGATCAGCAGTTGATATATATTTATATAATATAATATGTAATATATAGCAGTTGATATATATTTATATTGATCATATTGATGCATATTTAAATAAATATATTTGAGTCCAATCATTTATTTGCTTGTACCTAATGGACAGAATCTTGCCAGACTAAAGCAATCATCTTCTAGCCTATTAGATATATCCAGAGAAATTCTAGTGTGGGTACCCTAAACTTTCTTCCCTTTGCCGCATCCAGTTTGGGACTGCATATTCTCTTGATCTGGGCCTTCTTTCTGGGAAGGCTCTGAGTTGGCCACATCCTCCCCCTCTGCTAATGCAGATGTAATTCTATTACATTTTTGCCTCATTTCAGCTGATCTCCTGTAAATGACTCTTGGTCCCCTTCCTGTTTTCCCAGGTACGCCATTGGCATTGCCTACAAATCAGCCCCTAAGAATGAGTGGGTCGGCAAGAACTCCTCCTCTTGGGTTTTCTCCCGCTGCAACAACAGCTTTGTCGTGCGGCATAACAACAAGGAGATGCTGCTTGATGTCCATCCCCAGATGAAGCGCTTGGGCGTCCTCCTGGACTATGACAACAATGTCTTCTCCTTCTACGACCCTGCCAACTCGCTCCATCTCCATACGTTTGAGATTGCTTTCATCCTGCCTGTCTGCCCTACCTTTACCATTTGGAACAAATCATTAATGGTGGTAACGGGTCTTCCTGCTCCAGACTTTATAGACTACCCGGAACAGCAGGAATGTAACTGCCGGCCTCAAGAGTCCCCGTATGTATCAGGAATGAAAACCTGCCATTGAGGACCCAAGAAGTCCTGTCTTGTCAGCCAAGTCTCTGGAGCAACTGTTGCAACTTAGATGGGGCAATGACCTCATGTGTGTTTTGGAGGCAGCTGGCGGCTTGCAAGCCTCTCTCTCGTTTACTGAAAGTCCACCGCTCGTGGTGCATCGCTCGTGGTGCATCGGTGTGGGTGGCATTTCATGGACCGGATTTTTAATATTTTATTTTATTTTTATTTTTATTTTGATAGCACTACTGAATTGTCTCCAATGGAGTTGGCATGTCTTGTTTGTTCCTGACAAGAGGAAGGGGGCACCATGGCAGGGTATGGAGATGGATCGTGCCATCTCAGCTGCATGGGAATCCAAAGTGCAACATGGGTTTTGTTTTGTAAAACAGACAGAGGAGTCTGAGGGGGAGGGGACGCCATCAGGTCTCTTAAGCTATCATTTGGGGGAGAATCGGAACCAAACAAAGTTGGAACCCAAGCCATTGCCTAGAAAATACAGGTCTGGGTCCCCTATTACCCCATAACAATTGTACATGGGGGAGAGGGGGCAACATGAATTTAGCACTCTGCAAATATTCCTCTTTCAGATATATGGAAAAGGGAGTTAGCCAATAGGAAATGGCCCTTTCTCAAAGCCCAATATCCCCAAATTTTGTCATCGGCCATATTCCTTCCAAATCATATATACTCCAGCACAGTGGCTCTAAACAAGGATTGGCCCATATAGACTTCTGCATGTAGGTCAGTTCCCCTTGGCTGATGTTAACACTGAACGCGTAGAATGAGGAGATGCATGAGGAGAGCATCTGGTGCTCCATAAGCGCAGTCCGCTTTCTTCCAAACCCGGTCTGAATGAAAAGAGATGAGATCCATATAGACCTATTCTATGCACCCAGTGTGAAGATGTCACAAAAGCTTGGCTAACTGAAGCTTTGTTTGTGCACTTTTACACACAGTGGGAGCTCGTTGCTGCTAGCAGATTAGCTGTTCTTCCTACCCAGAAGCGCCTTCTGGGCAGCAAATTTTGTAAACAAGTTGGAAGTCCAAGGGCTGTAAGGAATGTATTTTATTCAGAAATGGGTGATGTGGTGCTGGCCTAAAAGTTAGAATAACTTCAGGCTTTTGAAATGCCAACAGATTCTCTTCCTTAGGTCATAGATTTTATTAGAGGAAAAGAGGCCAGTATCCAACCCAACCTAATTCAATCCAACCCAATCCCAATCCCAATCCCAACCCAACCCAATGTAACTCAACCCAACCCAACCCCAACTCAACCCAACCCAACCCCAACTTAACCCAACCCAACCCAAACCCAACCCAACTCAATCCAACCCAACTCAACCCAACTCAACCCAACCCAACCCAACCCAACCCAATGCAGGAAATGTAAGAGGAGGGATTTCAGTTTAGGACAATCTTGGAACCAACAACTTATTTGGTAAAGTTAGCATCCCAGACTGGTGGTATCCAAAAGGATTCTTCCATTCTATTTGCTGGTGTTCCATTTGTCCCATCATCTGGTTCAGATCATTTGATTGGAGGTTGATTGTCCTTCCTTTTTCTGGGACAAGGCATCCTTGTTGCTTCCCATCCTAGTGGAAGCAAGTCAGCTGATTCAGTTATATCCCAGGAAGGGCAGACTAAACTTCAGCCTTTTGGAAAGGAGGTGGGGGGGGGACATTGCAAGGGTCCAAGATGCATACATGAAACCTCCCAGAGATGTGACACTTCAGTTTGGCCTTTAATTTAACCCTATCCCACTAAACCGTTAAATATTGCACTGTGGAACATAGGCCGTTTTAACTGCTGATTTTCTTGGCATGGCTTGGATACCTGAAATGACAGGCTTCCCATGGAATGCCCGCTGGCGATGTAGGAAAAGATGGGAACTGGAGTCCTCTAACTGTCTACCCCAGACCCGGGGAAAGCTGTTTTAGACTGCAGCCCATTGCTAGAAAAGTCACACCAGACCATTTGGTGTCTGGTGACAAAGTGGCCCTAAAACTGCCCTATGGAAGAAAGCTTGAAATGTCTTGGTTTTCTTCTTGATTCAGTATGCTCAACATTTGGGCATTTTCTTCCTTGGGGGTGGGGGGGGGGAACGTGGTTCCTGTTGCTTTGGGGTGGGGTGGGGGGTTTCAACGAAAAACATTGGAGAGCATGATATTATTCAGGTTCGTATTGTGCTTGACCCTCAGGTCCTCTCCTACGATGCAGGGAGAAGTTCATTGAGATGTTGGCAGATCAAATGTAATGCCTTTGGAAGTTTTCGGTGGGAAGCCATTGTTACAAAGAAGTAGCCATCATGCCACAGTATTTGATGTTCTGTATCTATGGGCGGGTGCCCTACAGGGTTTCCTCTACAGCAGGACTGTCAAACTCAAGGCCCTGAGGGCCGCATCTGGCCTACAATGTAGTCAAATCTGGCCTGCAGGACCATTCTGGAAAATGTAAGGGGCCGGCCTGTGTTCGCTTTGGCCTGGTCTACCCCAGTGGTGAAATGTAAAATTTGTTACTACCGGTTCTGTGAGCATGGCTTGGGGGGGGGGGGTGTTAATTAGACTGGTGGGGCTTGGCCAACTTTTTTTTTTTTTTTTTACTTTTAAAATCATTCTTTCTACAACCTCTTTGGCATTTTTGTAAAAAAAATGCTTTTAAAGCCTCTGACGATCCCAGCTGACTTGCCTGATCGGCAGAGGCTTTTTTTCCTTTTAAAAACATTTTTTCTATAACCTCTTCGGCCGGAGAGGTTGTAGAAAAAATGCTTTTAAAAATTCTTAAAAAAAGCCTCTGATGATTGAGCAGCTCAGCTGGACAATGGGGGGGTGGGGGCAGGGATTTTTGCTACCGGTTCTCCGAACCACCTGCCTCCATCGCTACCGGTCCGAACCGGGAGCATTTCACCCCTGGTCTACCCGTATCTCTTCGGCCCAGTCTATTTGGGTCGCTTCAGCCCAGTCTTCCCAATGTGAAGAGGAAACATCGGGCCAGGATGGCTTCGGCCCCAGTGCAAAGAGGAAACATACCAGCAGTTTGGGGAGTGGTGTCATGCTGGTCACGCCCACCCAGTTGGCCACGCCCCATGAGTGGCATCAAGCTGGCCATGCCCACCCAGTTGGCCATACTCACTCAGTCAACCATACCCGTCCCCCACCAAGGTCAACCACAGCCCCGATGCGGCCCTCCATGAAATTGAGTTTGACACCCCTTGCTCTACAGCAACTGTCAAGACTTTTATGATTGCTGCTAAACTTGTCACTCCTCAACCTGTAAGGTCAGCTACAAAGATGGATTTCCTTCAAGTTGCATGACTGAAATGGCTCGTTTTAGCGGGAGGGTTGTTTTTGTTTTTGTTTTTGTTTTTAAAATTGGGGTCAGTTCCAAAAGCGTGACCTGGAATAAACGCGAGGGCACCCTCACTAACCGATGAGCTCGTGCCCAAATATCAGCGTCCGAGATCACTGCGATGTGGTAGTGGTGTTCCTGTTTGTATTTCCAGCCAACTTCAGGGCGCATCATTGCACAGAATTCAATCGCCCGTCATAAACCCTCCGAGAATCTCAGCCATCGTTTTAAAAAAAAGCAAGCAAACGGAAGCAGCCTAGATCGCTAGCTTTTCTTTACGGTTACGGAGAGACTGAAAATTGTAGAAGCAAAGGCCTCTTCAGAAGGCCCCGCAATTAAAAGTTGGAAAAATAGGAGCTCTTCATGATTTTCCTTCCTCTGACGCACAAGACTCAATTGGGCCCTGTACCCATAATAACCTCTTCTTGTCCCCGTGATCTGACCTTCTATCTCCAATCCTGATCTCTCACCGTTTCTCTTTCGTATGAACCTCCTGCCTCCCTTCCACAGGGCTCTGCCACAGGGCTCCGATTCAACCAGTTAGAGATGCAAAGTGGGACATGATGCGAGATGAAAAATAGGAGCGCGATGTATTTGGAGGATTCGCTCTCATTTCAGAAGGCAGTTTCTTGATGTTGCGTGGGAGGGGGAATGATATTCCTACAGCACAGAGAGACACTGAACAAGTTTCATTGTTCGATTTTCATTGGTTTGTCATAGATGCCTTCTTCTGTAGCATTTAAATCCTTTCACCCCTTCCCTGCACTTTCCTTATTTTTTCCCTTTCCCTTTCCTTCCATTACCTTACCTTACCTGTCTTTTTCCCTTTCCCTTCCCTTCCCTTCCATTACCTTACCTCCCTTTTTCCCTTTTCCTTTCCCTTCCCTTTCCCTTCCCTTCCCATCCTTTCCCCCTTCCCTTCCTTTCCTTTCCCTTCCCTTTTCCCTTTCCCTTCCTTTCCCTTCCCTTCCCTTCTCTTCCCTCCCCTTTTTCCTTTTCCTTTTCCTTTCTCTTTCCCTTCCCCTTCCCTCCCTCCCTTTTCCTTTTCCCTTTCCCTTTCCCTTCCCCTTCTCTTCCCTTCCCACCCTTTCCCCCTTCCCTTCCCTTCCCTTCCCTTCCCTTCCCTCCCCTTTTCCCTTTCCCTTTCCCTTTCCCTTTCCCTTCCCTTCCCACCCTTTCCCCCTTCCTTTCCCTTTCCCCTTTTCCCTTTCCCTTTCTCTTTCCCTTCCCTTCTTTTTCCCTTTCCCTTCCCTTCCCTCCCTACCTTTTCTTTTCTCTTCCCCTTCCCTTCCCTTCCCATCCTTTCCCCCTTCCCTTCCTTTCCTTTCCCTTCCCCTTTCCCTTCCCCTTCCCTCCCTCCCTTTTCCCTTTCCCTTTCCCTTCCCTCCCTCCTATGAGAACTACCTCATTGCACACACTTCCAGATGGAGATAAAACAGGGAGCTTAGATTATGATTAGGGATTGATGTTTTCTAGGCATTGTGGGATTCAGTGCCCATAAACCTAAACCCCAGGGATTATGGGGATGGCATCCCAAAATATTGGAAGGGCCTCAGGCCTCCTTCTTCCAATGGGGAAGAACTGCCACCTGCCCTCCTCATCTAGAGAACCGGGCAGCAACTCTTTTGGTTTTCCTGTTTCTGAAATGCTGCTCTACCAGGTATGTCAGCTTGGCAATATTCTGTCCCATCACCTGTGCTCCTATTTCTCCATATACCCCCAAACCTTTTACAAGCATATCATCCTCCAGGTGGTTAGGCCTGGAAGGGTATCATGTAGTCCTAAAGGCCAGAATTAAAGAGGCAAAACGAGGAATTAAGAATTGCCCTTTTCTTTTCGAATCTGTCTGGCCTGGCTTGTCTCAAGATACAACAAATGTCTACCAAAAAAAAAAAAAGAGGGGTGGTGGTGGTGGTCTGGAAGCAAAAGCTGGAGCTTTTGGATTAGAATGATGTTTGAGAAGTCTGATGAGTCCAACTTTAAATGACGTGCCAAGAAACGAGGAGTTGTTTGGAAGAGAACGGGATGAAGTCTGTTTAGAGAGCCATGGCGTATTCTGCTAAACTTTTATGAGCTGAATAAATATTATGCAGCATGAAGTCTCTCCAGGCATTGACCTTAATGAAGGGAGAGTGAGGCATTTTTCCCCTTCCAGGGGTTTATAAGACAGCTGCTTCTATCCCTTTCTCTGATCTGACATCTCCAGACAGTGTCCTCAAATCACCCTATGCAACCAGCCAGGCCTATCTCGTATTATCTGTTTCCGCCCCTCCCCTTGCGTTGACCTCTGATTCCAGCTGGCAGAAGTTTGTGCCAGGCCTCCAGCCATCCTCTCGTTCCTTCCACTTGTCACATCGTCCTGACTGTGTGGGCTGCTTCAAGGGATTTTCTCCTTTCAACTTTCTGTAGAAAGTCGGAGTGCGCTGTGGTGGCACAGTGGTTAGAGTGCAGTATTGCAGGCTACTTCGGCTGATCACTGGCTGCCAGCAGTTTGGCAGATCGAATCTCACCAGGCTCAAGGTTGATTCAGCCTTCCATCCTTCCGAGGTCGTTAAAATGAGGACCTAGATTGTTGGGGGCAATATGCTGGCTCTGTAAACCACTTAGAGAGGGATGTAAAAGCACTGTGAAGTGGTACTGTATATAAGTCTAAGTTCTATTGCTATAGTTAACTCTGCCCACTGCCAACAATTCGATCCTGACCAGCTCAAGGTTGACTCAGCCTTCCATCCTTCCAAGATGGGTAAAATGAGAACCCAAATTGTTGAGGCCAAGAGGCTGACTCTGTAAACACACTTAGAGAGATCTGTAAAAGCACTGTGAGCAGTATATAAGTCTAAGTGCTATTGCTATAGTTAACTCTGCCCAGTGACAGCAGTTCAATCTTGACCGGCTCAAGGTTGACTCAGCCTTCCATCCTTCCAAGGTGGGTAAAATGAGGACCCAGATTGTTGGGGGCCATAGGTTGACTCTGTAAACCGCTTAGAGAGGGCTGTAAAAGCACTGTGAAGTGGTAGGTATATACGTCTAAGTACTATTGCTGTAGTTAACCCTGCCCACTGCCAGCAATTCGATCCTGACCAGCTCAAGGTTGACTCAGCCTTCCATCCTTCCGAGATGGGTAAAATGAGGACCCAAATTGTTGAGGCCAAGAGGCTGACTCTGTAAACCACTTAGAGAGTTCCATAAAAGCACTGTGAGCAGTATATAAGTCTAAGTGCTATTGCTATAGTTAACTCTGCCCACTGCCAGCAGTTCAATCTTGACCAGCTCAAGATTGACTCAGCCTTCCATCCTTCCAAGGTGGGTAAAATGAGGACCCAGATTGTTGGGGGCCATAGGTTGACTCTGTAAACCGCTTAGAGAGGTCTGTAAAGCACTGTGAAGCGGTATATAAGTCTAAGTGCTATTGCTATAGTTAACTCTTCCCATTGCCAGCAGTTCGATCCTGACCAGCTCAAGGTTGACTCAGCCTTCCATCCTTCCAAGGTGGGTAAAATGAGGACCCAGATTGTTGGGGGGCCATAGGCTGACTCTGTAAACTGCTTAGAGAAGGCTGTAAAAGCACTGTAAAGCGGTATATAAGTCTAAGTGCAATTTCTATAAGGTCCTCATTATTGGACACTGGCTTCTGCTCTGCCAACAGGGCAAGTGGACATCTACAAAGAGTTGGTGGGTCATGGTCAGAGATCCCAAGTTGCATAATTAACTACACCCATTGCCGAGCAAACTATTGGTTGCAAACCACACAGCAATCTCTTAACAAACCTAACTCATAAATGATGTTAATCATTTCAGGTAATGCTTAGTGGATTTTGGCTGATTCAAATGTCACTTGAAGACTCACTTAATGGCAGAGTACTAACTAAACATCCAAACGATTCTAAAATCCAACATCTGGTATTTCCAATTTTTCAAAAAATCTGGTGGGGTGTGTATGATGGTAAACATCCATGCCTAAAATGCCAAAGGACTGCTGTAGAAGTAGCAGAAGAGAAGAGAAGATAGAGGAGAGTAGCAGGATCCCTAACCATCTGAACCCAATATGCACATCTGGAATGTGAGGTGTGACTTTCACCAAATAGTTGGTGTGTAAAGAAATGGGGCAGAAACATTGAAGTACCGATTCTGCCTGAACCTAGTGCTTCAAAGTTATTCGGGGGATTTAATAAATGGCAATAATGTTTGGGTAACCCTAAACCACCAGCCTAAAACCAAGCTAGCTTTCTTTGTAATCCAAAATTACAACTCAGAAGGTTGAGAGTTCAATCCTCGCTATCGGCAGGTGTTTCTCTCCTAGAGTGCAAAAAATAAAAAATTGCTGCAAACTCCACATGGCGTCAGGAAGGGCAGCCAGCCAGTAAATTCTTAGCTCCATCCAGTTGCCCTGACTCTACCCCAAAGTAACGGATTACAGGGTTGTAAAAAGGGATTAGGAGATGCATTGATCTTTTGCCCTGAAAGGACGTTTGAACTGAGTCAAGTGAATGAAGTCTTGTGTTAGGATGGGTACATTTGATCTGTGAAAAAGTTACATAAACTTGGAATCTGTGAAGCATATATAAGGTAAAGGTTCCCCTCGCACATATGTGCTAGTCGTTCCCGACTCTAGGGGGCGGTGCTCATCTCTGCTTCAAAGCTGAAGAGCCAGCACTGTCCAAAGACATCTCCGTGGTCATGTAGCCGGCATGACTCAATGCCAAAGGCGCACAGAACGCTGTTACCTTCCCACCAAAGGTGGCCCCTATTTTTCTACTTGCATTTTTTACGTGCTTTCGAACTGCTAGGTTGGCAGAAGCTGGGACAAGCAACGGAAGCTCACCCCATTATACGCAGCACTTGGGATTTGAACCACTGAATTGCCAAACTTTCAATCGACAAGCTCAGCGTCTTAGCCACTGAGCCACCGCATCCCTTGAAGCATCTATAGATCCCTCCAATATGTAACAGTGGTAGGTATAACTGAGGTGCATCTACCCTACCGAGATCCCAGTGCATTCTTTCAGTGAAATGTTGGGGGACATATTCAACCCTTCCTACTGTGAACCCTCAAACTCCGTGGTAACCTTCCACCCTCTCACTTTAAGAACCCGGTTAGATCAAACCAAAGATTTCCTAAGTCCAGCATCCTGTTTCCAGCCTGTAGCTAGCCAGTGGCCTCTGGGAATTCCAGGCAGGCTGCGAAAACATCTCCACATCCTTTGTTTCACATCAGTAACTCACCTTGTTCAGAACGGTGTTTCACAACTCGCGATTACAAACAGCCTCTTTTGAGTCGCAGCTTTTGAAAAGGAAATGCTTCCCTTGGGCAATGTGTTGTGTTTTTATTTATTTATTTTTTTTTGCATGCGCT